TCGCGTTTAACAAGAAAGGACTACTCGTTAGTCCAAAAACTACCCGTAAAAATCTGTAAGTGATTATTTTTTCCTCTTTAGAATTGAGGTCATACCACAAAAACCGTACAAAATCTCTACGCTCCCTAGATATAGCGATGTTAAGGAACGCCTGTTTTATATCTGCTAGGATGCCTATCTTATTAAGCCTAAATCTCACTAGGATGTCAAATATCTTGGCAATAAGATTTGGTCCTGAATACAAACATTGGTTAAGTGAGGGGCCGTTAACCTGACACGAAGCGTCGAAAACTGCCCGAATTTTCGTAGTCTGCTTGTCCTCCCGCACGACCGGTCGATGCGGGAGATAATGGACCCCACCTACTTCCCCACCAATCTCATGTGAAGGAACGCGTTCAATTATTCCGCTTTTCTCGTACTCTGTAAAGATCGTATCATACTCCCTGAGAATTCCTTTAGATGTTAAACGCCGTTTTAGAGATGTTAAACGCCCTTCACATACACGAAAGTTGTCTGGCAGCTGCTCATGGTCTGGCTTAAAGGGTAATTTCGTTACATATCGGGTCCCGTCGTGCCCTATGTCATTTTCAAACTGACTGACCACACAGTCACTGGAGGAGCCTATAGTCTCCACGGACCAAAATGTATCTAAAACTTGTCTTAAAGCGTCTGATGTTTCTTTACATTCAACTGAGGCACGTAGGATATGGGTCTCGAAACAATGCAGGTCAGGAGGACCTGTCCCAATTTTGCCACTTACTACCCATCCCACCTTAGTTCCGCATGCTACTGGACCCGCCTTACTTCGCACAACCTTTCCTGTCATGAACGTGTGATAATAATCTACCCCGATTAAAATTCCTACTGGGAGGTTTGGAGAATCGCCTTCATGGTCAGCCAATTCCAAGTCCTCAAATTCTTCCAAATCATGCGTTTTTGAGATATATTGGTTAGTAAGAGGGCTGCAAATTGTGGGAACACATAAAGCCTCAACACTGGTGCACCTAGAATCAGATTTATTCTTGACTTTGACCTGAACGACATCTAGTCTCTTAACCTTGCTATCATTGTCCTGACCAAAGGTCTTAATTATGACCTTTTCTGACCTGATCGACTTTAACTGCAACCTAGCTCTAACCTTATCAGAAATGTAAGACCGCTGGCTTCCACTATCAAACAAAATCCTGGTAGCTACTTGAGTACCAATATTCTCCTCATCATAGACCTGTACTCTAGCTGTTTGTAATAATATTCCCTGCTGGTCACAGCCAGTATGACCTACAAATTCCCTACTCTCCTCATCCTCTTTGCTCCCATTCTCCTTACTTGCATTTCGTCTGCCCGACGCTGCCTCACAAATGGAAATGTGGTGTTTACCCTTGTTGCACCGCTTACAAACATAAGTTGCCGTACAATTTTTTGCTATATGTCTCGAATCTAAACAAATAAAACATCTCCCTTTTTTCCGCAATATGTCTTTCCGAGAATGGTGATTCGAGACCTTACTACACCTAGATGGAAGATGTCCCCCCTCATTACAATATATACAGGGGGTTTTACTAGTTTGACTGAATAACCCACTTGCTGTATAGGGCTCCCTTTTCCTGAAATTGTCAGATCTACCATCCGATTTATTACTCAATGAGAAATTACAATCTTCTTGAGCACGAAGCTCATTGTTAAAAAATTCCATGACCTTATCTAAGTTCCATACTTTACCACAAAACTGTCTCGAAATAATCATATTAATCTCATCGGGCAAGCGGTCCTTTAAAATTGGAATGAGAAGAGAGCCATACCCACTGGTGTCAAGCTTAAGAGATTTCAAGTTCCTCATACAGTTTTCAACATGACTGTACAACATCCTTAACCCCTTAATGTTATCAACTGACTTAATTTTATTAATTTTAAGTAGAGACTCCATATGTGCAGAAATGAGCACCTGCTCATTCCCAAATCTATCCTTTAAAACCTGAACTGCCTCCTGATAATTATCTGAAGTTAAAGTCAACCCTGAAATAGCCGCAAGAGCTTCCCCTTTCACACAACCTTTTAAATAATTGAATTTATCAATATCACTTATGTTTATATTACTGTGGATCGACACTTGATACTGATCCCAGAACCCCTGCCAATCTAAGGGTTCCCCCGTAAACTCTGGTAATGCTAATTTTGGCAGCTTACAATGCGCAGGACTTCTATTTGTGCTTAAACCGGCTGCACCTAAGGAATAACTTGCGCTATTAATATTACTTTGCCCTTGCTTAATTTCTTCAAGTTTCAAATCCGCCTTTGCCAAAACTTGGTGACAAGGTTCTAAAGCTTTCATGTGACAAATAATTTCCGGCTCAATGTCCTTTGGATCTATCAAGGATAATATTTCATTGTGCACAGTCGCCAATTGTTCGATGATACTAGCCACATTGTTTCTCAACCCAAGGAGTTTAGATTGCTCGCAATCACCGCTTTCCGAAGAAACATACTCGTTTAATTCACTTAAAAGAGTTTTCAAATACGCGCCGAGACCAAGGTGTCTGCCTTTAGCCCTTGCTAATTTTTCCTCCATGACAAATATGAAATATGAGATACCGACTACACAATACACACTGTGGACGCGTTTTTACAATACAACGCTACGTATGACAATTAGACACAAAAAATATATAGAATTTCTAACATTTACTATATCATAAAACATATACACTTCAGAACAATGCACAACCCCAAAGGGATCTCTCAAAAGGAAAGAATTTACCTCTAACCACGATATCGACCAACCGACACGCTCGCGAATGACTCACAGACTCGTGTTCACTGTAACACTGTCGTCGACTTAAACGCACAATTATTGATACCTCGTATTCCGTATGATGTTCTGCCGTGTCCCATATCGGGCTCCATGTAAAAAGCACTCTCACACTTGCCTTTTATATAGTTATTTTAATATAAATAACGCAACATAAATTTACATGTTGTCCGTTTTATTCCAACTAACTTCCGATTGCCCTACACGTGTCTTTTTAATCGTCTCACCACGTGACAGCTCACGTGACAGCTCACGTGATTATAACAGAACCAATAATGTTATTAAAAGTAAATAAATGTGTAATGTAAAACGTCATGCACTAGATTAATGTTTTCTACACTGAGCAAAAAACATAACGCTATCACGTACTTTAGTCGATATTTTTGCCATGCTATATAGGATTTCGAAGCTTCTACTAACAACAGAACGGTGACGGTTCAATTCGATATATAACACTGAAACCACAGAATGAATGCAACTAATACTAGTGTACTTATCAGTAGTATAAATGCTGACTTGCTCCTTAATTTGACGATATATAAGAAACGGCCTCATCTTTCCAAATTAACAAGCACCCCAGTTTAAATACCACCTCGTGAAATCCTAACCCATCGTAACTGACAGTAAGCTCAACATTGTAAATATGTAAATATGAATAATAACATATTGTAAATATGAATAAATCCTTGTTTCGGTCACAAATATATTTCTTTGATCTTGACCGTAATCACAACCCATCCCTACCCTAGCTTTATTGTGCGCGAAACACGAGAATCTAACCATAAACCTTTCTTAACCTTTCTATCCTACCGTTACTCTAATATCTGTGACATCAGAACGACAATAGTATGGAAACTTGCACCCATTTTTGGAACCTTTTCCCTATAGACCACAACATCAGCCAATAATTATTTTAAGAGCACACAGATTATTCAATGCTTTTAATTACACAACAACGATACACTGTATCACTATTAAAGACCACACATATACTTCAAAGGTCACAAGACCCAACAGTACAGTTAGTGCAGACTGTCCGGTATGTACTATTTAAAACGCGAGCAGGAGTGCTTTATCAGATATAAAACACGTGAGCGCAGCTCGAATATTTTAGGGACGGACCATTAGAAAAGTGATGGGGGGGGGGCAAAACCAAAAAAAAATTCCTTGCTTAGAAGATAGGCCAAGTGGTGGACTGGAGGGAGGGCTCAGGGGAGCTGAGCCCCCTTGTTGAAATTTCATGTTGACTTGGGGGGCTGCACGTTGGTCAAATTTAGCAAAATTTCTCCCACTCGTGCGGGTTCGTATTGACAGCGGACATCTTACAGAAAGTGGCCAGTTCTTTGAAAAATGCAAAAGTTTCAATTTTACACCGCAAGTCCACTGACAATATGAGCCTGCGATCCTGGGAGAAAATTTGCTGAATGTGACCAGCGTGATGAGCCCCCCTATATTATGGCACGTTGCATAATTGATAATCTTAACAACGTGCGAAAACACACACAAAAAAATACCAGTAAACGAGAATGTTCTTTAGAATTGCATCTCATTTTCACTCATCATTTAACACAATGATTTTTGTAATTTTTATATCGCCATTTTTGTAATCTTTATATCATTTAGTACCACTAAATTGTAAATTTAGACATACTAAAACGCTGTTTTCTGACCATCAGAATTCTGTCAAATCTTCCCCAATTAAAGTCCAGGAAATGGCATTTCAGAGACTCTAAATTTAAAAATTTCCTCGGGCCTTCGGCCCTCGCTTCGGCTTGTTTTTAATAAGAATAATGTCAAATGTTTGTCCCAGAATTACTAGAATAAACCCCAACAAAATTTAGAATTTCTAAAATATTTTATTGTACCTCCCCTCCCGCCAATTCAGGGCACTTTGGAGAACCCCCCTTGTTAACATTCCAGGACTACACCACTAATAGGCCTATAAATTTCACTTAAAGGGCCCTACAGTCATTTTTTAGTCGAAAGCCACCTTAAGTAGGGGACTCCACGGAGATTCGTTTGGCTGTATCTTACATGCAGTATCCATGAGTATGAGTACTTTCGCGCACAGAAAACGCATGCATACTGTGGTGCGCATGTCAAGTAGCGACAATAACAAAAAATGTAAACAATACTTACTTGACTAAAAAATTGCTGTAGGGCCCCTTTAAAAAAAAATATTTCCAACCATCAAGTGAGAAAAAAAAAAATTTCTTCTATAAGTGTACAAAAAAAAAAATATATTGCCTCTTACACCTGCGGTATGTCGGCGGGCTATTGACAACAACTGCTCTGAAAAGCTGTGAACAATGATAGCGCAGGTATACCGCAGACATATATGTGAACCAGGCTAAAGAAGGAGTAAAGTAAAGTGCTTAGCTGATATTTTACTTCGCTTGAATATACTTCTTCGCCAAATTGCCTTTCTTTTGATTTTACTGAAGTGAAGTCGATCGTTTAAGAACTGAATATCGAATAACCCGGTCATGGAGCAAAATGTGCATCCAAGGACGTCAAATTAAAGCCACGTTACTTCGAAAACTACAGGGTGTTCAAAAAACCTGCAAACATTATAATTTGCATAATTCTGCTGCTTACCAGCATTTCAATGTTTGTGCTACTTGTTTTGCTCCTGGGATTTGAAAATACATTCTAACTAACCGCGTTGATAGAAATTAGAATAACAAAAAGTTATTTGTAATGCAAACAACTAATTATCAGTTCGACTGCGAATGTCAACTATTGCGGTGTTTACGCATGCTTGGGATCAATTAGTTCAATCACCATCTATAGAAATTATCCTATTCTTGTTAAGCCCAGGATTTTTCATGCTCCCGGTAATTAAAAATTCAATTCAATTGTGTTTACGCGCTCTTGTGTTCAGCATAGTGCTCAGGCATTCAAATTATAACAATGTGATAATTTCTATAGAGGGTACTTTTTTGGAGGACACCCTGTACTTCAAAGTTTCCAGGTTTTTTGATGCACCCTGTAGAGTTGAGGACATTGTTTTTAATGTTTTGACACATGCAATAACAAAAGCATGATCAATTGTAAAAAATATTCAATGCACATACTTCAATCCCATGCACGATCCTACTGACTTGCCCCTGGCTACGTTGCATGCACAATGCCCATGCATAAATTAAACTATGTTATGTATGCACTGAGTATAGTGTAGTGTGCTTTTTGACAGCCAAAGAACATTTAGTTAACCCATGAAATAGCACGCAAAGCATCGTTCTTTTAAAACGCCATATAATGCTCTAAACATAGTTGGTAGTTGCCGGACTGTCCATGCCATATCTCCGTGTAAATTACCTTATTGTCAAATCATATTCAAACAAAAGGTCTACAACCAGGCCTGTTTAAATTATAGCAAAGTGAAACTGACGGACAATAATTTATTCGCTTTTAATTAATGCTTGAAATGAACGCTTTCAGACGTGTAAATACAATGTTGATTCTACTTCATCATTGGTCAGTTCACAAAGAAGTCACGTGAGATAGAGCGCGGGAGATCGGAGCATTCAGTTCGAGCGTGATTTCAGAGCGTTTGGTTTAGAAAAAAATTTCGTTTGACTTGTTTGGACAAAATACTTTTCATTTGACATATTTCCGATGGCAGAACCTGAAGACAAAGACGAACTTCTTTTCACAGAAGACGAAGAGCCTTCAATCAATCTAAACAAAGAATTCCTGTCGACTATCTCGTTACTGAATACAAACATGCTTGCTGTAAACGAGTCGCTTAAGCAATTTAGTACCCAAATGCACACGGCAGAACCTGCCAGAAAAAGGCCACTTTTGTCAGACAAAGAAGGCCTTAACGACCAGCAGAATGGTCATCAATCAGATGCCGATCAACTGCTGAACCAGCAGGCGAATAAACGGCAAAAAGTCGTTAACAACGACGGCGAAATGGGCGCCACACCAGTAGTCGTTAACAACGACAACAATAGCAATGGCGGGGACGTCACAGGGTCACCCAATCAACGCGATGACCCTTTGCTGGAAGAAATCGCACAAGCTATGAATGACACGGAAAAATCCGCCCCAAAAATTGCTGAACAATTAGCAAAAATCATCAACTCTCGCTGGCTAAACAAGCTGAGCGATGAAAGCCTTCGTGAGAAACTTGATACCCATTTGCGTCCGGTTAACTGTGACCGACTCATTACTCCGAAGGTCAACCCAGAAATCTGGGGGCGTCTCGACAAAGAAACAAGAAGCAAAGATCTAAAGCTGTCATACTTGCAAACTAACCTAGCAGCGGTTGGTAATATTGTCTCGCAAGCAACAGATATGTTGTTGACAGCTCGTGCAGAAAACAGCGAAGTCCACATCGAAAACCTTATTCGCAAGAATATGGACGCCATTGCTATTATGGGCCACATTAGTTATGATTTGGCTCAACGAAGACGTGACGTTATTCGTCCAACACTCAATAAGGAGTATGCTACACTGTGTGCTTCCCATGTGCCTGTTACCACTTTGCTTTTCGGGGACGAATTGCAAACACAACTGAACCACATACGGGCATCGAATAAAATAAAAAATACAGCAAGTGGTTCCCAATATTATCCACCAAGGCGCAATTTCTCGCCTCAACAGGCACCAGCCAGATCTGGTCAACAAAAGCCTTTTTTATGGAAACAGCCGCCTCAGGGCGGCAAACCCCAGTACAGGAGAAAGTACAAACAATATCGGTCCAATCAACCGGGGAATCAGAAAAATCAATGAGCAACATTTTGACAGAA